AGATGATTCTGGATAGGAGCGAAAGTAACAGGGTAGTTGTTATGGGGGACTTTAACTTTCCAAATATTGACTGAAAACGCTACAGTTTGAGTACTTTAGATGGGTCAGTTTTTGTCCAATATGTGCAGGAGGGTTTCCTGACAGTATGTAGATAGGCCAACAAGAAGCAAGGCCACATTGGATTTGGTACTCGGTAACGAACCAGGCCAGGTGTTAGATTTGGAGGTAGGTGAACACTTTGGTGGTAGTGACCACAACTTGGTTACGTTTAATTTAGCAATGGAAAGGGACAGGTATATACCACAGGGCAAGAGTTATAGTTGGGGGAAAGGCAATTATGAGGCGATTAGGCAAGATTTAGGATGCATAGGATAGAGAAGAAAACTGCAGGGGCTGGGCACAATTGAAATGTGGAGCTTGTTCAAGGAACAGCTACTACGTGTCCTTGATAAGTATGTACCTGTCAGGCAGGGAGTGGTCGAGCAAGGGAACCGTGGTTTACTAAAGAAGTTGAATCTCTTGTCAAGAGGAAGGAGGCTTATGTAGAGATGAGGCATGAAGGCTCAGTGAGGGCGCTTGAGAGTTACAAGTTAGCCAGGAAGGACCTAAAGAGAGAGCTAAGAAGAGCCAGGAGGGGACATGAGAAGTCTTCAGCAGGTAGGATCAAGGAAAACCCTAAAGCTTTCTATAGGTATGTCAGGAATAAAAGAATGACTAGAGTAAGATTGGGGCCAGTCAAGGACAGTAGTGGGAAGTTGTGCGTGGAGTCCGAAGAGATAGGAGAGGTGCTAAATGAATATTTTTCGTCAGTATTCACACAGGAAAAAGACAATGTTGTCGAGGAGAATACTGAGATACAGGCTATTAGACTAGACAGGATTGAGGTTCATAAGGAAGAGGTGTTAGCAATTCTGGAAGGTGTGAAAATAGATAAGTCCCCTGGGCCGGATGGGATTTATCCTAGGATTCTCTGGGAAGCTAGGGAGGAGATTGCAGAGCCTTTGGCTTTGATCTTTATGTCGTCACTGTCTACAGGAATAGTGCCAGGAGACTGGAGGATAGCAAATGTTGTCCTCTTGTTCAAGAAGGGGAGTAGAGACAACCCTGGTAATTATAGACCAGTGAGCCTTACTTCAGTTGTGGGTCAAGTGTTGGAAAGGATCATCATCTCGAAAGGAATAATTTGATTAGGGATAGTCAACACGGTTTTGTGAAGGATAGGTCGTGCCTCACAAACCTTATTGAGTTCTTTGAGAAGGTGACCAAAGAAGTGGATGAGGGTAAAGCGGTTGGTGTGGTGTATATGGATTTCAGTAAAGCATTTGATAAGGTTCCCCACGGTAGGCTATTGCAGAAAATATGGAGGCATGGGATTGAGGGTGATTTAGCGGTTTGGATCAGAAATGAGCTAACTGTAAGAAGACAGAGGGTGGTGGTCGATGGGAAATGTTCATCCTGGAGTTCAGTTACTAGTGGTGTACCGCAAGGATCTGTTTTGGGGCCACTGCTGTTTGTCATTTTTATAAATGACCTGGATGAGGGCATAGAAGGATGGATTAGTAAATTTGCGGATGACACTAAAGACGGTGGAGTTGTGGATAGTGCGGAAGGATTTTGCAGGTTACAGAGGGATATAGATAAGCTGCAGAGCTGGGCTGAGAGGTGGCAAATGGAGTTTAATGCAGAAAAGTGTGAGGTGATTCACTTTGGAAGGAGTAACAGGAATACAGAGTACTGGGCTAATGGTAAGATTCTTGGTAGTATGGATGAGCGGTGTCCATGTGCATAGATCACTGAAAGTTGCCACCCAGGTTGATAGGGTTGTTAAGAAGGCGTATGGTGCGTTAGGTTTTATTGGTAGAGGGATTGAGTTTCGGAGCCATGAGGTCATGTTGCAGCTGTACAAAACTCTGGTGCGGCCGCACTTGGAGTATTGCGTACAGTTCTGGTCGCAGCATTATAGGAAGGATGTGAAAGCATTGGAAAGGGTGCAGAGGAGATTTGCCAGGATGTTGCCTGGTATGGAGGGAAGGTCTTATGAGGAAAGGCTGAGGGACTTGAGGCTGTTTTCGTTAGAGAGAAGAAGGTTAAGAGGTGACTTAATAGAGACATACAAAGATGATCAGAGGATTAGATAGGGTGGACAGCGAGAGCCTTTTTCCTCGGATGGTGATGGCTAGCACGAGGGGACATAGCTTTAAATTGAGGGGTGATAGATATAGGACAGATGTCAGAGGTAGATTCTTTACTCAGTAGTAAGGGTGTGGAATGCCCTGCCTGCAACAGTAGTAGACTCGCCAACTTTAAGGTCATTTAAATGGTCATTGGATAAACATATGGATGATAATGGAATAGTGTAGGTTAGATGGGTTTCAGATTGTTGCACCGACCTGTGAAACCATCGAGGGCCAAAGGACCTGTACTGCGCTGTAATGTTCTATGTTCTCAATATGGGAGATTTCTTTCCCCAACACAATGAGGGAACCAAACTTAAAAGAAACACACTATTTAGCATCTGTCATTACTAAGATGAGTTTTATATTCATGACTTAATGAATGGTGGCAATTTAACTGACCATTGCCCACAACATTGACTTGAAGGTAACCTGACAAGTCAGCACAGGCAGCAGGGCAGAAATATTCACTTGGTGCCATCTGCAGAGGGCAATTCCTATCCTGCCAGTCTTTAACTTAGATTGATGTTACACATCAGACAACATTTTTCTGAAAAGTTGTTTTTGAGTTTACTGTAATGCTTTGTAAATTTCATCACCTATCGTAGGTGGTGGTCAAGGATGAAATAAGGCACATAAGAAACAATCCTTTGTAGGTACGAACATCTGCTGTACTTCAGAATACTGCACAAGTAACATAGGATACACTCAGGAAAACATGACATGAAATCAAATTGGCTGAAGTCAAAGATTACCAAGCATTACAACTATTACCTGTAGGAGTGGGGCATTTTCCAGTAGAAATCCAAGCTGAGGAGGAACTATATCTCTATTGTCTATTTCTCTACCCCTGTATACTCAGAATTTGGTGTGCAACAACGTGGAAGTTTTAAAAAAGGTCTAAAGTCCAATGAACACTAAAATGTTGAGATGAACAGTAGAAACTAGAGCAATCTTGATGCAGCAAATAGAAAGTTTTAAAAGTTACCTGGTGTTTTGCTGGGTGTCACCACCATGGATGCATTAAGTGATCGATTTCTTGTTTTCATTGGTGATAGACCACTGGTATTAGCAGAAGTTGACATTGACCCAGAAACACTATTGTTTTCCTTTGCTTTCCGCTGCCATCTAGCTAGTGGCCCATTTGTTATGGGAGCATCCAACTTCAGAAGGTTGTTGATGTCACTCTCAAAAACAAATTGAGACATTCTTCACACCTTCTGTGAAGTGCAGACACATTAAAAATAGGTCAGGAGGAAGCCAACCACAATTTAGCCTAGCCTCAAATTTCATTTGATACATATTTAGATAACTGTCAGTCATTTAAGCCTTCCAGCCACCATGGACCTTATCTCAAAAGCAGTTTACCCCCATTATTCACACTTCTGGCAACACTTGCCTTCCAAGCCATTGGGTCATGATAGACATACGCACTCTGTGCCACCTGTCATGGTATTCACATGAAACAATCTGCTGCCCACCCCCAAATGAAACAGGAATTCCATGTTTAATACACTTGGGTTATAGAGTCATATAGCATGGAAACAGGCCCTTTGACCCATATCTAGTCTGGTCAACAGACACCAAACTACATTAATCCAATTTACCTGTACTTAGTCCACAGCCTATGCACTGGCATATTAAGTGCATAATGCTAAATGTTTCAAGGATATTTGCCTCCACCACCCTCTCAGGTAGCATGTCCCATATTTCTACTACCCCTGGGTGAAAACATCCAGATTTCCTCTAAACCACTTACTCATCTTAAACTTATGTCCTTTTGTCTTAGGCAAAGTTTGGGTTTTGCCAGGGCCACTCAGCTCCTGACCTCATTACAGCCTCAGTCCAAACAAAGATAAAAAGAACTGAACGCCAGAGATAAAGTAACAGTCTTTGAAATCAAGGCAATAATTAATACAAGTGGCACCAAGTACCCTCACAAAACTGGAGTCAACAGGTACCAAGTGGAGAACTGTTCATGTTTTGCATTGGTAATGACGCCAATTGACAGTGGTGACTGTTACAAGTATCAGATTAATAGCCCTGTTGACAGTTAACCACCACATGTGCACAATAGCAGTTTCACGTAAATTCAGGATCACAGTTTTTACAACTCAAAAGGCCCTCCAGCCCATCGGCCTGCTGGTCATCAATTCTATTCTAACCCAATTTTGAGGTTTACAGCCTTGTAGATTTGATGGTGAACTTGAACCCAGCCCTTCTGGGCCAGAGGCAAGGACATTGCTAGAGCCACCCTCTTGTAACCTTATAAGCTCTGGCGTTTCAAGGGCACGATTACAGACCTCTCAAACGTCCTGGGGATTCACATCCCTGCTATTCCTACACGCAGAGAGCTCCCGATACCCACCAGTCTCTGGGTGACTATAAAATCCTCAATAGGATCTGCCGGTAAAACTCAGCCCAACTTGAGCTTCAGAATAAGACAAAGCAAAATTAAAGTCAGGGTTGCGAGGGGAGTCTCACCGTTTCCTCAGGCCCGGATCAGTACCTTTTGTTCTCAAATCTCAGTTCTCCGCTCAAAATGGCTGCACGCCGTTGCCTCTGGATTTAAATCCAAGCCGCCAACCGCCCCACCAAACCGCGCGTTCCCATTCGTCCGCTCAAACCAAAGCACCCATCTCCATTGGGCGAATCGAGCGAAGGCTCTGAATGGATGGACCAGAACCAACGGACGCCAGTCGCTATGGAAACTACGTCCGCCCGAGCAGCGGCGCAGTTTACAGATGCGCATGCGCATTATGCCCCGTGCCGATTTGAGCACCGTGGACGCCATCTTTGATACAGGTACTACGCCCTTCCATTGTACGTTGCGCTAATCTTACTGCTTGCAGTCTCATTTGCTCCGTGCGTTTAAATTGCTGCTTTCACGAAATTTGAAGCTGGAAAACGAAAAGTTCTGGTGGAACAATATAAGCACGTGATATTAGGCACTGTTTACACTAAATGGAATTTAATTCTGAAAAGTGGGACGCCAGGTAGTACGGAGGATGCTGGAGAAACTTAGCAGGTATGGCAGGATCTATAGCGAGAGACGCAGTTGACAATTTGAGTTCGTTATAACTCGTGGTGTCTATACGAAGAGTCATACTGACTCGAAATGTTAACTCTGTATTTCTGTCTACAGATGCTGCCAGACCTGCTGGGTTTCTCCAGAATTCTCTGTGTTTGTTTCAGATATCCAGCAGCTGCACTCCTTTAAAAACGGAAAAAGTGCGGATGTTGTAAATCAAGAAGAGAAACAGAAGTTGCTGAAAAAACTCAGCAGGTCTGGCAGCACTTGTGCAGAGAAATCAGAGTTAACGTTTCGGGTCAGGTGACCCTTCCTCAGAACTGGTGGTATCTGCACTATTTTGCTTTTTCTTTTGAGGAACCTTGTTGTGCATGTCCATAGATCCTTAAAAGGCAACAGGACAGGTTGATAAGATGATTAAGGAGGCATGTGGCCTTTATTAGTGAAGGAATTGAATGCAAGAGCAGGGAATGATGGTGTTCCAAAGGGCATTGATTAGGTCACAGTTGGGGTACTGCGTGCAGTTCTGGTCACCACACTAAAGAGGGTGTAGAAGATATTTGGTATGAAGAAAAAAGAAGCTCAATCTGGCAGGAGATGAGCACAACTGCTCATGTGGGGTTGGGGAGATATCAATGGGAAACCCACCCAGTAAGCTTAATTGTAATGTCCTGTGCTGATCTCACATTAGCCACTGGCATTACTCAGAGCAATGCTTTTATGTATCTTCTGCAACTAATGCCCTTTTTTATGCGGGTACCTTGTGGCATCCAGGAAACCTCCACAAAAAACTTGTGCTGGAGACCATCATCTCCACCTCTGAGGAAGAATCCAGTGAATGTTCACGAGATACATCAGCAAGGCGTTTACCTGCACCTTCTGTCATCTTAAGATACACTCCACCTCAGTGTGTAATCTTTCAGTGTTAGATTTGGAAGTGCAATTTGGTGAGCCCATCACCGACATATATCCGCAACTGGTTGAGGAAGAAATGTCCCGGATCTTTGAAAGTCAAACAATTGCTAGAGGCCAGGATTCTAGCCCAGTCAGAAAGCACCCCATTTTTCCTATTGACTTGGTCATCCTGCAGAAACAAGCACAGCTTTGTCACAGATACTGGTAAGCTGGTACGAAGGATGGAGGAAACCACCATTGTTACCAGTACCATGCTGACTCCAGCATGCGTGCAGTCGGTTGTCTTTCTGGACAGGTTGGCAACTGCTGTGGTGACTGAAATCCAGCAGGACACTTGGCGTTTGCCAGATGCACACATGGACCTGTATTCCATCGCTTTAGCCATTGTTGCTCAGCAAGACATTGATGAGGGACCTCAATCACAGCCAGGTGCCTCGTGACAAGGTGGTGCAGCAGGTACCTTAGGGACAAAAGAGCTACAGACAAGTCCAGATTGCATGGATGTACCTTGGAATTATGTACATTAAACCCTAGGTCTTTCTGTTCTACATAACTATCCAGGGCCGTACCATTAATTGTATAAGTCTTGCCCTTGTTTGTTTTGCCAAAATACAATACCTCACATTTATGCGAATTAAACTTCATCTGACACTCCTCAGCCCATTGATCCAATTGATCAAAATCTCTTTGTAATCTGAGATAACCTTGTTAACTGTCCACTACCACTGATTTTGGTGTCATCTGCAAACTTACTAACGATACCTCCTATACTGTTATCCAAATTATTCATACAGATGACAAACAAAAGTGGACCCAATACCGATCCCTGTAATAACATGGCTGGTATCAGGCCTCCAGTCTGAAAAGCACCCCTCCACCACCACCGTCTGTCTCCTACCATTAAGCCAATTCTGTACCCAATTGAGAAACTCACCCTGAATCCCATGTGATCTAACTTTACTAATTAGTCTACCAAGTGGAACCTTGTCAAAGGCTTTACTAAAGTTTGTGTGAACAATGTCGATTGCTCTGTCCTCCTCAATCCTTTTAGTTACTTCCTCAAAAAACTCAATCAAATTTGAGAGTCACAATTTCCCTTGCACAAAAATTTTTTTTCTCCATTTATGGGATGTGGGCATCGCTGGCTGGCCAGCCTTTCTTGCCCATCCCTAGTTGCCCTTGAGAAGGTGGTAGTGAGCTGCCGCCTTGTACTGCTGCAGTCCTCCAGCTGTGGGTTGACCTACAATACTATTAGGGAGGGCATTCCAGGATTTTGACCCAACGACAGTGAAAGTACAACGATATATTTCCAAGTCAGGATGGTGAGCGGCTTGGAGGGGAACATGGCGGGGTGGTGTTCCCATATGTCTGATGCCCTTGTCCTTCTAGATGGAAGTGGTTGTGGGTTTGGAAGGTGCTGTCTGAGGATCTTTGAATTTCTGCAGAGCATCTTGTAGATAGTACACACTGCTGCTATTCAACGTCGGTGGTGGAGGGAGTGGAAGTTTGTGGATGTAGTGCCAATCAAGCAGGCTGCTTTGTCTTGGATGGTGTCAAGCTTCTTGAGTGTTGTTGGGGCTGCACTCATCCGGGCATGTAGGGAGTATTTCATCACACTCCTGACTTGTGTCTTATGGACAGGCTTTGAGGAGACAGGAGGTGAGTTACTCGCCGCAGTATTCCTAGCTTCTGGCCTGCTCTTGTAGCCACTGTGTTTATGTGGTGAGTCCAGTTGAGTTTGTGGTCAATGGTAACCCCCAGGATGTTGATAGTGGGGTATTCTGTGATGGTAACACCATTGAATGTCAAGGGACTGTGTTTAGATTTTCTCTTATTGGTGATGGCCATAACCTGACATTTCTGTGGTGCGAATGTCACTTGCCAGTTGTCAGCCCAAGCCTGGATACTGTCCAGATCTTGTTGGATTTAAATATGGACTGCTTCAGTATCTGAGGAGTCACGAATGGTGCTGAACATTGCAATTATCGGCGAACATCCCCACTTCTGACCTTATGATGGAGGGAAGGTCATCGATGAAGCAGCTGAAGATGGTTGGGCTGAGGACACTACCCTGAGGAACTCCTGCAGAGATGTCCTAGAGCTGAGATTATTGACCTCCAACGACCACGACCATCTTCCTATGTGTCAGGTATGACTCCAACCATTGGAGAGTTTGCCCCCAATACCCATTGATTCCAGTTTTGCCAGGGCTCCTTGTTGCCATACTCGGTCGAATGCAGCAGTGATATCAAGGGCTGTCGCTCTCACCTCACCTCTGGAATTCAGCTGGGTCGGTCCTGCTGGTGGGACAGTGCATAACCGGGGATGTGATGGTGGACATTGTGTGTAAGGTATGATTCTGTGAGTATGACTGTGTCAGGCTGTTGCTTAACTAGTCTGTGAGACAGCTCTTCCAATTTTGGTACTAACCCCCAGATGTTAGTGAGGAGGATTTTGTAGAGTCAACAGGGCTGTTTCTGGCACCTACACTCACCTTTACTGGCTCCATCCCCGCCTCTTTGATCTGTCTGTCTCCTCTCCACCTATCCTCTCCTCTATCCATCTTCTATCCGCCTCCCCCTCTCTCCCTATTTATTTCAGAACCCCCTTCCCCTCCCCCATTTCTGAAGAAGGGTCTAGGCCCAAAACGTCAGCTTTCCTGCACCTCTGATGCTGCTTGGCCTGCTGTGTTCATCCAGCTCTACACCTTGTTATTTCACGGTTTTATCTTTGCTACTTTTGGCATTTGCTGTTCTTGTGGTAGGAGAGTGACACCCAGATTGTTGTATCCATATTGCAAAACCTACAGATATATCCTAGAATAGAATCTCAGGCCCACAAAAATCTGAGTCTACAAATTAGCTGACAGGATAAAAGTCTTAGCAATATTAATTTAGGGGTGCCAATGCACTGATGACTAAAACTGCAGAACTGACAGATAAAACAAGCATGGACCTCCAGTTACTTTGCTTCTTTTAATTGGCCATAGTTTGGAGTAAAAGCAAGAAGAAAACTAAATGGGGAGAATGTGGAATGGAGCACCATATTCTAGCTCTGTTTTTATAGCCATAGGTAATCAGTGCAGCCTCCAATGAAGTGCTAAATAAAAACCGAAAGAACTGCGGATGCTGTAAATCAGGAACAAAAATAAAGTTGCTGGAAAAGCTCAGCAGGTCTGGCAGCATCTGTGGAGGAGAAAACAGAGTTAACGTTTCGGGTTTGGTGACCCTTCCTCGAGGAAGTTTGTTTTCGTTCTAATGAAGTGCTGTTGTGTTTTCCCACTTGTTATTTAAACTCTGGTGACGGTTGAGCTGGATTACCTCACTTCCGGTTTTCCTTTGCAATGGAATGTATATGGGGTCGAAAACAAAACCAAAGTTGCTGGAAAAGCCCAGCAGGTCTGGCAGCATCTGAAGGAAAAAACAGAGTTAACGTTTTGGGTCCAGTGACCCTTCCTCAGAACTGGGGTCGATCTCTGTGTTTGTTGATGTCTTTCTTCGTGGAGTACCAGGCTTCCAGGAATTCCCGTGCATGTCTCTGCTTTGCTTGTCCCAGGATCTTGGTGTTGTCCCAGTCGAATTGGTGGTTCTCCTTATCCATGTGGATAGAGATGAGTGAGTAACAAACCAGCTCGGTGAGCCAACCAGCCACAGCATCCACAATCCGAGCTACAAATCTACTGTAAAACTTTATGGCCATTGGTAATGTTTGGAACTAAGTGGAACTTCATTTGATCTGAATTAAATGAGCCACAAATGAGATGACAACCATTGTCAATAAAAGCAGGGTCATGACTTTTATTTCAGAATGCTTGATTTTTATAAAAGGTTGTCTTTGATTTATACAGAGATGGTATTATAGAGATGATACTGAATACTTGTTGTTAAACAGTTCATGGGGCATTTCAGTATGCAGGTGGACTGGGAAAATCAGGTTGTTAGTGGATTGCAAGAAAAGGAATTTGTGTAATGTCAACGAGATGGCTTTTTGGAGCAGCTTGTATTGGAGCCCACAAGGGAACAGGCAGTTTTGGATTTAGTGATGTACAATGAGGCAGACTTGATAAGGAAGCTTAAGGTGAAGGAATCCTTAGGAGGCAGTGACTATAATATGATAGTATTTAGTCTGCAATTTGAGAGGGAGAAAGTGGAATCAGATATAACGGTATTACAGTTGAATAAAGGCAGCTAGAGAGGCGTGAGGGTGGAGTTGGCCAGAACTGACTGGGAGAGGAGCCCAGCAGGAAAGACAGTGAAACAGCAAGGGCAGGAGTTTCTCTGCAGTAATTCAGGAGACCCAGCAAAAAATCATCCCTAGGAAAAAGAAACATACTAAAGGGAGGAAGAGGCAATCATGGCTGACAAGGGAAGTCAGGGACAGCATAAAAGCAAAAGAGAAGCCTATAATGCAGCGAAGGGCAGTGAGGAGCCAGGGGATTGGGAAGCCTACAAAGACGAACAGAGGGCAACTAAAAAAGAAATAAGCAGGGAGAATATAAAATATGAGGATAAGCTAGCCAGTAATATAAAAGAAGATTACAAGAGTTTTTTTTTTTTGGTATGTAAAGGGCAAAAGAGAGGCAAAAGTGGACATTGGATCCCTGGAAAATGACGCTGCAGAAGTAGTAATGGGAGATAAAGAAATGGCGGAAGACCTGAACAAATACTTTGTGAACGTCTTCCCAGTAGAAGACAGGAGTAACAAAATAAAAACTCGAGAGTCAGGGGGCAGAGGTGAGCATGGTGGCCGTCACCGAGGAGAAGGTGCTAGAAAAACTGAAAGGTCTGAAGATGGATAAATCACCTGGACCAGATGGACTACACTCCAGAATTCTGTAGGAGGATAGCTGAAGAGATAGTGGATCATCAGTGGTGACCTTTTAGGAATCATTGGAGTCAGGGAAGGTCCCAGAGGACTGGAAGCTTGCTAACGTAACCCCTCCCTTTAAGAAGGTGGTAAGGCATAGGATGGGAAATTACAGGCCAACTAACCTGACCTTGGTTGTTGGTAAGATTTCGGAGTCCATTGTGAAGGTCGTGATTTCTGAATACTTGGAAATGCATGGTAAAATAGGGCAAAGTCAGCATGGCTTCATCAAGGGAAGGTCATGCCTGACAAATCTGTTAGAATTCTTTGAGGAGGTAATGAGCAGGTTAGACAAAAGAGAGCCAATGGATGTTATCCACTTGGACTTCCAGAAGGTCTTTGACAAGTTGCCACACAGGAGGTTGCTGAGTAAGATAAGAGCACATGGTGATAGAGGCAAGGCACTAGCATGGATAGAAGATTAGCTGTCTGGCAGAAAGCAGAGAGTGGGATTAAAAGGGTCTTTCCCACTATGGCAGCTGGTGACTAGTGATGTTCTGCAAGTTTCAGTGCTGGGACTTCATGTATTAATGACCTAGATGAAGGATCTGAGGGCATTCTTGCTAAATTTGCAGATGATACAAAGATAAATGGAGGGATGTGAGTTATTGAGGAGGCAGGGAGGCTGCAGAAGGATTTAGACATGTTAGGAGAGTGGGCAAAGAAATGGCAGATGGAATACAACATTGGAAAGTATAAGGTCATACACTTTGGTAGGAAGAATAGAGACATAGACTATTTTCTAAATGGCTGGAAAAAATTCAGAAATCTGAAGTGCTAAAGGACTTGGGAATCCTGGTCCAGGATTGTCTTAAGGTTGACTTGCAGGTTGAGTCAGTAGTTAGGAAGCCAAATACAATGTTGGCATTTATTTCGAGAAGACTAGAATATAAAAGCAGGGATATACTTCTGAGGTTTTATAAAGTTCTGGTGAGACCACATTTAGAGTATTGTGAGCAATTTTGGGCCCCATATCTCAGGAAGGATGTGCTGGTTCTGGAGCAGGTCCAGAGGAAGTTCACGAGAATGATCCCAGGAATGAAAGGTTTAACATCTGAGGAATGTTTGAGGACTCTGTGACTATACCCAATGGAGTTCAGAAGGATGAGGGGAGTTCTAAATGAAACTTATAGAATACTGACAGGCATGGATAGAATGGATGTTGGGAAGATGCTTCCATTAGCAGGAGAGACTAGAACCCGAGGGCACAACCCTTAGAGTAAAGGGAAGACCCGTTAGAATGGAGATGAGGAAAAACCTCTTCAACCAGAGAGTGGTGAATCTATGGAATTCATTGCCACAGAAGGCTGTGGAGGCCAAGTCATTGAGTATATTTAAGACAGAGAAAGATAGGTTCCCGATTGTGAAGGGGATCAATGGTTATGGGGAGATTGCGGGAGAATGGGGTTGAGAAACTCATCATCCATGATTGAATGGAGGAGCAGACTTGATGGGTCAAATGGTCTAATTTCTGCTCCTATGTCTTATGGTCTTATAGCACAAGGGCAACATTAACTTGCATTTATATACTAATTTTAAGATAGAAAGTTACCCAAAAATGCTCCATGGAAGTGTACACAACGAAGATGCTGAACTAAGTAAGACAGTATCAAGAGGATGACTAAAGTTTGGTTAATGAGCTGGTGGATGGTTTTAAGTGAGGGATGTTTCAGAAGGAGACTCCAGTACCTGAGACTGGATATAAATACGACCATGCCATTGATACTGTTTCTCTACAGTTCCTTTGCTGAAGTTACAGCGGTTACTTGGGAGAACCCTTGTGGAAATTCATACCTCTAGTGTGAGCTTGACCACAAATCCTACGATCAAGAGGTAAGAACACTACCAAACTGATATTATTTTCAAGAAGAGTCATATTGAACTTGAAACGTTAACTCTGTTTCTCTTTCTACAGATGCTGCTAGACCTTCTGGGTTTCTCCAGCATTTTCTTTGTGTCTTTGTCATTATAATTGCTGCAACTCCTGCTACTATTAAGTTCCAAGTAGGGCAATTGGTTTGGTAATCTGGTACCAGGAATATAAACAACATGTCCTACTGACTGAAGGTGGTTTTGAATAATTAGCACCTCAACACTGAACATGTTGACTTGGAAGAAGACACTGCTATTGGACTGTCTTTGTTGCCGCTGGATTTATAGAATCTTGCAAAGACACCATTTATGGTACTTGTGCTTTAAGGTTGCCCAAGTTTCAAAGGCATATAGGAGTGTGGAGATATTGCTGCCTTGCAAACCATGACATTGAATTTTCTCAATAAAATATCTCTTTTTTTTTTTTTTGTAGACTGGATCTGATCTTGCATAATCTCTAAGCAATGCAAAATGATTTTCAGTGCACTCATCTTTTATGTCGTCCATTGGATCATGTGCGATATGTCCATGGAAGGGGTGGGACGGCCTTCCCACTTGAATTTGAGATCCTGGGCCTCAAATACTCTCTTCCAGAACACACCTTCACCAATCAATTAAGACCCAATGACAAATTTCTGGAAAATGTGGAACACTTCCCATACTTTGGGAAGATCCTCTTGATGACGGCAGACATAGACAACATAATGTATCATTGCCTTAGGTCAAATGAAAATGAGATGACTCGTACATAGCTATATAGTAGCATTGTGGTTATCTTGTACTAGAATGGTGATCCATGCAAAGGGTGGACTAATGGTCCAAATCTGACCATGACAGTTATGGAATTAAATTTTGATTAATTAATGAAAATGATATAGCATATAAGAAGTCCAGCATTTGTAATAGTGACTGTAATTACTCCTGGGATGTCATAAAAGAAAACAACTCCCTCACAATGTTCCTTGGGCAAAGAAATCTATCAACCTTGCTTAGTTCGGCACCTTATGTCACAGTGAACTCCCATCAGTTTTTCACTTTGAAACAGCTTAACAATCCTCTCAGTTTGAGATGGCTTGTAAAAACTGACCCTGCAAGTGACATTCTCGTCATATGAATGAATTTTTAAAAAAATCTAGGGAATAGCTTACTTGCTGGCAAATGATCAGCTTGCGGGAGTTTTAACCTTGCAAAGTGGGAAGGCCGTCCCACCCCTTCCATGGACATCAGAGATAGTAGGAACTGCCAATGCTGGAGTCTGAGATAACAAGGTGTGGAGCTGGATGAATACAGCAGGCCAGGCAGCCTCAGAGGAGCAGGAAAGCTGACGTTTCGGGTATGGACCCTACTTCAGAAAATTTCAGATTTCTGAAGAAGGGTCCGGGCCAGAAACGTCAGCTTTCCTGCTCCTCTGATGCTGCCTGGCCTGCTGTATTCATCCAGCTCCACACCTTGTTATCCCTTCCATGGATATGTCCCACATGATCCAATGGATGATATAAAAGATAAGAGCACTGAAAATCATTTTGCATTGCACAGAGATGATGCAAGATCAGATCTAGTCTACAGAAAGAGATATATTTTATTGCAAAGAAATATTAACCTAATTTTTATTTTTTTGTGTACAACAATGTAGACCCTATTTCAAAAACAACGACGTATAACTATCAACCTACTTGCACTGCTAAAGATAGAATAGTTTTGTACAGTTAGTATTATAAGGAATTGAGGATATTAGAATATGAATAACATTACAAACAACAGATTGTTAAAATTCTGTTTTTTTTTAGTTCAAGTGTTGAACTATTGTAGTGTTCACAATATATATCAGGGGAACACAATGTACAATGATTTTAAAGTAGACAATGGATCATCTGTGTTTCCTACAATTGTGCATCCTACATACAATGCAGCATCACCATAATGACTCCTGTTACAAGGATAATCAGCTATACAGTAGAATCTGCTTATTAGTTACTGCTTGAGAAAACTTCACAAGTTACAACATAATGGAAATTTCTATTAGACAGGAAACACGGAAAATAAGTTCTGGTGTATAAAAACTTTCATTTTCTTAAATTCAGTGTAATATCTGTACACAAGATGAATAACATCAGTAACGTAACGTGTATACTTTATATGTTTGAATATAATTTATTTTAGAGTTTGGATTTTGGCCTATGTGCATGAGGGAGTTTAATGATTGTCAGTATTTTTGGAGCCATAACTTTTTAAAAAAAAAAATCGGAATGAGAGACGGAACCCTGGGATGATAATGGGGATTTGTTTGCATTGGTAAAGTTTTGAGTGGACAGAGTAAACATTGAAAAGCATTAGCTTGTTTTCTGTTTAGAAGGATGAGGATTTTTCTTTGCTTAGCAGAAAACAAAAGCTCAAAGCTTTGTTGGTCAGTTTGCAAAAGTCCTGGTTGAAGCTAAATGAATGAAACAGCTTACCCTCAAAAAAAGGAGTTAATTCAGAAAAATTAGTTTAAGTGTAATGGTTTTAGTTTGAAAGTTCCAGACCAGAAGTGTTTGGTTAGAATCTCAAAAAGGTTATTTGAAACTGAGATCATCTAAACTTAATTGCATGTTTAATTAAGATAGGGTCTGCCATATTCTCAAGACTGGGACTTGAAAAAAATAGTTAAATTATACCTATAATGTCATAGAGAAGCAAACTCTCTCTGGTATTTGAGCATTGTAAAGTGATGGTGTTAGAATAGATAAGACTGGATTTTTGCTGTGTCTTTTGAAATCTTTCAAATGGTGTTATTTGTAAATAACATCGTTTATTCTAATTATCTTGTTTTTGTTTGAATCTCTTTTTATTGTTAAAGCCAAATTTGCAGCATTGTGTGTTTTGTGTGTCAATGAAAGACCACCTTGTTAAAAAAACAAAAGATCTATCCAACTAGATTTCAGTCTGGGATCTGACTTATCCAGGAGAAACATCAACTGGGATCTTAACATATCTTACAACAACAACAGCTTACAAATATGAATATGGTACAACTTCTTAACAATGGAAAAAATGCTTGTCTCCTGGTTCAAGTCTTTAGCCTTTTTGATGAAGGACAGAAATCATCAACCTGCTCCCTTCCAGTGAATGAAATCTGTCCAACTCTTTATTGTCTCTTGGTTTGATTAATCTCTGCAGAATAGATAATGTAGAATCTACTTCTCTAACTGTGGGAGTTTCTCGTTCTGACATTCTTAATTTTATATCTTTCACAGTCACTGCTACCAAGTTTTCTTGAGAAGTTATTCCTTTATTGGTCAGCTCTCTGTAGGTACAAAAGTATTCATCCAATGGAACCAAAAAAATTGAACGCTGAATCATTCAAACTGCATGATCCATCATGACCATGCCTAAAAGTTCATCTAAATGCCATTGTAAGTCCAGTGGATACTCTGCTAACAATACCTCATCTGTGCCTTAGCAGTAGGCCTGCTATTTTGTGCTTTTTTTAAACACACAGATTTTTGTAAACATCTCACTCTTCTGCAGCATTGAAAGCTACAAAGTTTGCCACACACTGATTTCTTTGGTAAGTGCATCAGCTTTCATCTTCAAGAGGCTAATGTCAACTAGAAGTTTGAGCTGTTTTTCAAATTCTGGAAGTCAAATATTTAGAAAGATTCTGTGTAACCATGTTCTTGAATCTTCAATTCCTATTCAAAACATACATTAGTTGAAATCATACTAAAATAATTATGGCAAATTTAGAGGACTCTTCTGGTGTAGTGATATGACCTTACCTCTGAGCTAGGAAGGCACAGGTTCGAGACTCACCTGGATGAACAAACTGACAATAGCACCGTGGTACAGGGAGCCATTTAAGAAGGGGGAGAAAAGAGAAACGTAGTTGTAATCGGGGATAGTACAGTCAGGGGAATAGTCACTGTTCTCTGTGGCTAAGATTGAGAGTCCTGAAGCCTATGTTGCTTGCCTGGTGCCTGGGTTCAAGATATCTCATTGGTGTTACAGTGGAACTTGGAGTGAGAGCGGAAAGATCCGGTCGTCGTAGTCCATGTAGGTACCAACGATAGAGCTAGGAAGAACAAAGAAGTTCAACTGAGGAAATGTGAGCCCCTAGGGTCTAAATTAAAAGCAGAACCAAAAAGGTAATAAGCCTTAGATCACTACCTGAGCCATGAACTAATTGGCACAGGGTCAACAAGATTAAAGGTGTAAACGTGTGGCTGAAATATCAGTGTGGAAGAAACAGGTTTGAATTCATGGGACATTAGCACCAGTTCTGGGGAACAAGGGAGCTGTTCTGATGGGACAGGCTCTACCTGAATCATGCTGGGACCAGAGACCCGGCAAATTGCAAAACGAGGGTGGTAGACAGAGTCATAGAGATGTACAGCATGGAAACAAACCCTTCAGTCCAACTCGTCAATGTCGAACAGATATCCTAAATTAATCTAGTCCCCCTTACCAGCATTTGGCAGCAAGATGCCTTTTAAATGCTGTAATTGTACCAGGCTCCACCACTTCCTCTGGCAGTTCATTCCATACACGCATCACCCCCTGTGTGAAAAATTTGCCCCTCAGGTCCCTTTTAAATCTTTCCCCTCTCACCTTAAACCTATGTCCTCTAGTTTTGGACTTCCCTACCCTGGGGAAAAGACCTTGTCTATTCACCCAATCCATGCCCCTCATGATTTTATAAACCTCTATAAGGTCACCCCTCAGCCTTTGATGTTCCAGGAAAATAGCCCCAGCCTATTCAGAGATAGTAAGAACTGCTGATGCTGGAGTCTGAGATAACGCAGCGTGGAGCTGGAGGAACGCAGCAGAGGAGCAGGAAAGCTGACGTTTCGGGTCGGGACCCTTCTTCTGAAATGGGGGAGGGGGAAGGGAGCTCTGAAATAAATTGAGAGGAGTGGTGGGGCTGGGGAAGGTAGGTGGGATGGCGATAGGTGAGTGCAGGTAGGCAGTGATGGAGATTGGTC